TTTGCTAGACATTTATAAAAAAAAAAATCACGAATCTTGTGTAACATTAATTAATTAATCCAAAAAAATGTTAAATTTATTTAATATTAACATGTATGACTTTAAAAAATCTGAATCTTCAGATGAAGAAAAATATTTAATGTATTAAATACATTGGAATAAAACAATTTTTAAACATGTCACATGTATATTATTTCTAAATCGTTATGAATTTATATTTATGTATTTTCAGGGGGGAAACAAAAGAATTAAATCGATCTTAGGGGTTCTTGTCATCAACTTTAGGCATAAATATTTTTGAAAGTTGGTAACACTCACACGGGGATTCCCCTGAGTCGAATATAGGCTTTAAATAGCCTCAGAATGACGCAACAGTTATTTCAAGTGCAAGAGTTACGGGCGACGAGTCGTTTTGCGTCTGTAGTGTTCTTTCCAGTCAGGAGACCTAAAACTTTAAGTTTAAAACATCATAATGAATCCTGTAATTGCTTTGGACTGTGAGATGGTAGGGTCGGGCAACAGGAGTATTCTGGCCAAGGTGTCAGTAGTGGACGACGAATGCAGAGCTTTGTTAAACTGGTTCGTTAAACCGACGGAAATCGTCACTGACTACAGGAGTAGCGTGCACGGGATCACCGCGCGTGATCTGGAAGGCGGGCAGTCTTTCGACACCGTACAAAGATATGTTGCCGAGTTGTTGAAGGGTCGAATTCTGGTGGGCCACAGTTTGGACTTTGATCTTGAAGTCCTGAATTTGCCTCATCCGGAACATAACAAAAGAGATTTCGCCAAAATTCCTACGTTTATGAAGGTGATTATTTATTTTACACATCACTACTATTATAAGACAGAACTCTGAGCTGTCATCGTCTTATAGCCACTAATATTAAATACTTTTGCTTGGATGTTTGTTTCACTATGAGTGAAGGGTCCAATACACACTGCTGTGATGCTCAACTTACCCGCTTGCTTCATTTTAACTTGTAATGTGTTCAAATGTCTGTATGTAGTTATATGGCTGTATATTATGTGTAGAGTATGTTCTGATCTCAGCAAAGCATTAATAAGTCTGAACGATCTCTGTAGCATCGTGAAAGGTTCAATACTAAACGTTTTTACGAAAATATATTTCAGAATGGTTTACCCCGGTCTCTGAAGGACCTCGCTCGTGAGCATCTAAACAAGAATATTCAGGAGGGTCATCATGATTCTTTAGAAGATGCTAGGACCTGCATGGAGCTGTACAAGAAATTTTACAGACAGTGGTAGGGACGTCCCAGAACAAACTTCCGTAATAAATGAGTACATATAAAGAGGTCGTGTTTCATTTAATCTATGGTACAGCTGCTTTTAGTTCAAATATAGTATGTTCCGAATGTTGCTTCGTTGGAATTGATAACTTTATTGAATCACTGAACGTGAGTTCTATGTATAAGGCATGTGATGTGGTAACGCTCTCAATATCAATCCTTTTCCCATCTATGTAGTTGGTGAGCTATGGGAGTGTCGTTGTATTAGTTACACGTGAACTAGCTGTTGTGGATTCTGAACATGTTTATACGAGCTACTCGGAAGTTATTAGACCAGTGCCGGTCCAAAACTAAAAGTCCTACAGAAAAAAATTATATGGCAAAGTTGTAGGTAATAAAAAGATCTAAAACTTTTGTACTAACATTTTTTTCACATAATTTTAAGTTTTTTATTTTTATCTCTTCCAAAAAACAATATTTTTGTCACGAAATTTGGTGAAATCTTTCCTTTTGATGTTCCAAATGCATTGTAATTTATTTGATAAGAAATAATTATTTTTTCAGCTTATATTGAATAAATACCGAAAAATCAGTCCCGTTTTCATCGAAAAATCAACCGTCAAAATATCAGCTTTTTAAAAAAAATTGTGTGCTTTCTATTTGTTGAAATCTCTATTTTCTGATGGTGAAGAAAAGATATAAGTTTTTTACTTGCAGTACCAATTTTGGATAAAATAATCATGTCCATTTTAATGAAATGACACTCGATATCGTTTGGAAAATGCTCTTTCAATTTATTTTTAATAGTTTTAGCAGCTTAATCTCAATTATCTGTAAATTACCTAAGAGAGGGACTATCTGGAGAACTTTCAGAGTACACAAGTACTAAAAATAAATATTCCTCTCCTTTTGTAATGAGTTTCTACCATAAATTATTCACTTTTCATTATTTTTAACGGCATCTGCACTGGCTTATATCAGTATGGCGTTAATGACTCCTTTTGGTATAACTTTAGAATGTTTTCGTTAGTTTTTACAGATCTGTTGTTAGTGAAGGATTTCATACAAATGTAATGCGTATCGTTTTTGGTACATGAAAAAAATAATGTTACGTATTGAAACTTTATTTTTTAATTTAAATAGTCTTTCTCTAATTTATTTAAATAAAAAGTATATGTATATAAATGAGTTAGGGTCTACCTACGTCAGCTGGCACATATATTTACTCAAAATATCATCTTTTTGTTGCACAATTTTCATTGCTTACACTACAATGGATCTACACACTCAACTAAATAAAAGTATGGAGGACATGACGAAAATGTTCGAGGCGCGTATGGATCTCTTCGATAAAGCTTTGGCTACAACACAGGCTGCATCATCAAGTCTCGACGAAAGTGCTTCGGGTAACTGTTCCTCGCTGGCGGCCGAATTCAATGTGTTCAAGGAGCTTATTTGGAAGGCTCTATCCATGTTACGGCATCAGTTGCAATTGCTGAGAACGGGAGTCGACAATCAAGAGGTGTTGTCCAGAAGAAACATACTTCTACTTCATGGTGTATCTGAAGATAACAATGAACAAATCATTAACACACTTGAATCCATTTTGCGTAATCGTTTAATACTAACGGATTTTGATTACTCTCATATTGATCGATAGGTGTAAAGAAGAATAAAGCCAGACCCATACTCGTCCGCTTTATTAGTTTAAGGGCCAGGAATGCAGTATGGAACTGTAAAACTGTTCTTAAAGGTTCCGGCATAACAATTACGGAGTTTCTCACCAAACCCAGGCAGGAGTTATTTGTGACTGCCCGTAAGCATTTCGGAATGAGAAATTGCTGGACCGTCGATGGTAATATCGTCATATCTTTGCCAGACAAAAATCGCAAGAAAGTAGATTCTATGTGTGAACTGCAGTTATTAATAGAAAAACATCCGCTTGCTGAATCGGTACATGAACAGAAAACTACAAGATCTCGTCGAAATATTAAAACATCAGCTAAGTAATTGTATACCTTGTTAGAGGGTATTGTGGTCAGTTTCTTATCATTACACTTTCATCTATTAGTTATTCCGAACGTCGGTTGGCATAGTTTATTGCAGTAAGTTCAATTTTTCACTTGTTAGATTATGTAGATCCATATTTTTTATTTTCACTTTTCGTAATCATTGGTTGAAATACGATAATAAATAAATGTCTGTCACAATCTGTCATTGTCTTAATGACTACTCATTCCCACAGATAGTTTGATATAATGTGCACGGATTATTTATCATTTAGACAATCCTAATTCCTATAGATAGTTTTATATAGAGAGTATTACATATAATAGCTGATAAATCCTTTTATTTTTGTGTCTTTTTTTAAATTTTTATTTTATAGAATTATCTGAATTTGCTCCAATTTATTTTTGTGTAATTTAATGATATCTCTCTCCTTTCGCCAGTGTGAGTGGATTTTTTTGGTTGTAAAGTAATTTTTTTTATTATTTTTAATATTTTTATAAGTAATTTATATTTTTTTTATATAATACTGCATATATATATTTTTGTATCATATTATTTTTTATTTTTATTGATATATCTCTCAAGGTTTTCATGTTTTTAATTATTTTTTCTAAATAAGTAGTTTACATATTATAATGTCTGATATAATGTACTTTGATGATGAATATTTCTCGTGCTCATCTTCTGAAGATTTTCAAAGCCTATCAAGTAACCATTCTTCATTGGATGATTCGTTTACAATTGGTCCAAATCTCAGTTCCATTTTCACTAATAAATTACATGGTCTTAACATAGTTCACATTAATGCTCAAAGCATTCCGGCTCATTTTCCCGATTTTCTAGCATCTTTTAGCGGCATCTTAGTTGATTGTATTCTTATTTCTGAGTCCTGGCTAAAGCCTTCCCTCCCTTCTGCCCTTTTTCATTTACCTGAATTTACTTTAATCCGGAATGACCGTACTGGCAAAGGCGGTGGAGGCGTCTGCATTTATCTTAGAAATAATTTTAATTTCAAGATCATAAGTCAATCTCCTTCCACACATTCTGGTAGTTTAGAACATCTCTTCATTGAGATCCGCCTGAAGCATACTTCACTCACGTTTAACCTCTAGGACACCACTATTTTTGTTTATTTCATAGACTTAACATAGGTAGGTTATATAAATAAAACCATTCTGTTTATAAAGTTACATACATTTAGTTAAGGGATGCGGATTCATGTTGAAAGGCGTCTTCTACAGCCAAATACAATTTATACATTACTTTTGACTACAATTAACACTAGTAGTACATCTAGATGTTAGAATAGAATAGAAAATAAACATAAATACAACATAAAATATAAAAATATATTTATAGAGAATTCAGATCCAAATATTGCTTTTATTAAAATTAATATTGCACCTAAATTACGATTAGTGGGGAAAATATTAAATATTAAATAATTTTTTTTTATATATTTTATCACTAACACATTTTATTGCTTAAATTATCATATAAATTCATTATAATGAATATGATACCATGAAATGCATATATACAGGCTTGTGCGTAAAATATTACTAAAGAACGGGGCTTAGTGTAACTTAAAACAAACAGTCTAAATAGTTTTCACAACTCTGAAATGACTTACAAAAAACTTGGTGTTCTTAATTAGTCTAGATCTAATTAAATGCTAGATAAAAAAAGGAATGCTTATAATTAAATTCGGTATTACTCGATATAAAACAAGATGGCGGATCATCCGGCCAGGGTATATAAAGCTAGCGCGAGTGCTGACGTCATCAGTCGGTGTATGGCCGCGGAGGAGAACATAGGTGACAACTCGTCCGCGTGCACCGAGTGAGACCCGCCGAGCGTGTGGAACTGGAATATGTCGCTGACCTGGAACGAGAATAAGACATGGCTTAAAACAAGCATTGATAAATAATAATTAGCAGTAACCGATTATTTATTAAGTAAGACACTAGTAGCTAATATTTCTAAAATAATATAACAATAATCACGATTTCTTTGACAAGTACAAAGAACTAGAGATTGTTAATGCAATCATTTCTTTATATAAAGCCACAAAAGTATTTTGCGGATGCGTTTAAATCCTTGATTGGGTTAGAGGGAGAGGGAATGATAGCAAGGGAGAAGCAATTGTCTCTCTCACTCATCGAACGAAACGCAGCCATTAAAGACTATTTCCGATTTTCATAGGCTAGTATTTAACCGGTCGAGCCAGCACATGTTCGAGCTTTAGTATAACCACAGCTAGACTCTACTACTTATTCATTTTATGTATTTAAACAAAAAAAATTATGAACAATTCTCTTCTAAGTTAAAGTTTTCCTTAGTTTATATAGTAATATTTTTATTTTATCTTTAAATTAGTATGTAAATTTTTAATGGCACTGTTTATATTTAGTAAATGTTATGTACACTTGTTATTGACGTACATATCTGATGTTATAATATATTCACTTTAACTGTGAATATTCAATATGTATGTAGGTGTGCTTGTTTTAAATAAATAAATTAATTAATTAACACTTTGGTATTAATTAGGTTTAAGGTTTAAAGAAGTTTATTTCCAAAAAGAACAAAGTTAGCTTACAAAGGAAATTTTAAAAACTATAACTACAATTAAAATTACAAATAATAAACAGTAGTGATATTAAACAAGACCAGTGAAATCATCTAATATATGGGTTCTTTATCGTTTTTTAAATATATTTAGAGATTTTGAATTGACAACACTTAGAGGCAAAGAGTTATGTAGCTATGTATTAAGGATCATAATTAATATAGTCATTTTAACTGTAGATATTCAATATGTATGTAAGTGTGCTTGTTTTAAATAAATAAATAAATTAAACTCTCTAGTATTTATTACGGATCATAATTAATATTTTTCTCACCTCATTCCATCCGTATCTGTTCTTAGCTTGAACGATCGCTTCGTACACGGCTCCTGGTTGTAACCCTACTAGCTCGTGTGTCACGTGGTGTGTTAAGGAAGTAGGTCGGGAGGGGGGAGGCAGGACTACGTCATGCCAACGACCTGGCTGCTGGAAAGACTCGTTTATCTGTTGGAAAATGGAAGCCAGATTTAGCCAGGGTCTGCCGTAACATTAGGATATTGCTATAAAACTGAATGCATTAAATAATATCAAAAATGATGTGATGTTATCTATTTTAATGACTGTCCTGTAAATTGATCTTTGATTACTTCTTCATCTACCTGTCAATTTCCCAGATTTAGCCAGGGTCTGCCGTAACATTAGGATATTGCTATAAAACTGAATGCATTAAATAATATCAAAAATGATGTGATGTTATCTATTTTAATGACTGTCCTGTAAATTGATCTTTGATTACTTCTTCATCTACCTGTCAATTTCCCAGCTTTAGCCAGGGTCTGCCTTTGACAGTACATTATCATATTGCTATAAAACAAATGCTCAATTTCGGCTTTACATAATATCAAAAATTATATGATTATTATTTATTTTAATGACTGTTCTGTAAATTGATCTTTGATTACTTCTTCATCTACCTGTCAATTTCCCAGATTTAGCCAGAGTCTGTTTTAACATTATCATATTGCTATAAAGCTAAATGCTCATATTCGGCTTTAAATAATATGAAAACTGATGTGATTATTATTTATTTAATGACAGTTCTGTAAATTGATCTTTGATTACTTCTTCATCTACCTGTCAATTTCCCAGCTTTAGCCAGGGTCTGCCGTAACATTATCATATTAAACAACATCAACATCGAATATAAAGTGTATGTCTAACTTTGGAAGCTCCGGATAACACTGCTTAACAAATTTGTAATATTTTACTTGTTACATGAAAATTTATATCAAATTTTGAATATACAATCAACCAAATAATATCAATGAAAACAAACATCAAAACATATATTGACTAACAGACATTCACATCTCGTCTTAATAATCACGGTTGTAAAGTATACGAAAATATTTATTCTCAAAATAATAGTTTCATTAAACATATTTTCGTAGATAGTACAAAATCAGACACACATACAGAATTATTTCCTAATAATTAATATATGCTACGTAAGTGGTGACCTAGTGGTTAAAGGGTCCGCCTCTCATGCATGAGGGCGCAGGTTCGATCCTGGCAAGTACCAATGTGATTTATCCGAGTCATATGTACTTAAGAGTATTTAGACATCACTGATTAATGCATTCCCAAAGAGGGTTGATGTCAGGCAGGCAGCCGTAAAAACAATTAGCCAAAACTATTCACATATAAGGCAGACTGGCTAAAGCTGGGAAATTGACAAATAGAAGAACTAATAGATTATGATTCTTTTGAATATTTTTCTTCTAGGTCTACTCACCGCAAGTTGTCTATATAAAAGACGTAGTTCGTCTAACGGAGGGTAACTATCGACTGTGAATGACAATGTGTAGGAAGTTCTTGACCCAGCGAGAGGAGACGAAGTGAACCTCGCGGCGCCCGGCCTGCCGGACACTTCGACGTGCTGACGCGCGCGACCAAGACTATTATCAGCTACACACCTGTATTAAAAAACTACAGTTAGAATTAAGGATTTTAATCATCCTAAATTATGATGCAGTGTCGTAACTAGGGCGGTGCCAGCAGTGTCCAGGCACAGGGCGCAGAAATGACCAGACTAGTATCTAGTTTTATCTCATGCATGGTAGCTATATACTTTGGTAAACAACAAATAGATAGATTTATTTGTCCCTTTTATTTTCAGAGCCTGGTTAGAGCATTTTTCAGGGGCGCAGTTTTGAAAGCTCGCACCGGGTGCATAAAAGCCTAGTTACAACACTGGTATGATGAGTTAAAATTCGTCATCATCATCATCAGCCTATCAGAGCCCACTGCTGAGCCTCTTCTCACATAGAGAAGGTTAGGGCATTAATCACCACGCTCGCTCAAGACGGGTTGGTGATATCCAACTTATAATTTGATTAAGTCCAGATTTCCTCACAATTTTTATATTATTCATGTTAAATAAGAATAAAAATTTTGAAAGTCTTGTATATATAGATGATTTAATAATTCACATACGTGTAATTTCCGAAGTCTTCTGGTTGTACGTTAGCTATAAGTAACGTGTGATTATTTCCACGAACAGACATAGTGATCCGCTCCGAAGCTGACAGAGGAAAAGAATTCTGATACCAGAGAACCTGAAATGGGAAATTAAAATATTTATTTATTTGTATAACCAACAAAAAAACATTATTACATTAATTTCATTATCAAACTATTAACAATAACTTAATATTTTAAATATAGGCTATCACGTAATGCAAAATATAATAATTGTAGTATAACAAGATTTAAATTAAAAAACAATAATAATAAATTCAATAAATATTTACATAATAATCACTAACATTTACATAACAAATAACACTTAGAATTTAAATAACATTAAAATAAATTAATTAACAAAAAGTAAGTGAATAAGGACACTGTCATAAAAAACAATACTTTATCAAAAATTGTTATTAATATAAAAAAATGGATTGTAGCATAATTATGATTTGATAAGTTGAAGTAAAAAAATAACTTCAGCAGATTGATTGAAGCATTTTGTTTTATACTCAATAAGGGATATAAAAATAATATTTATTTATATATATGTGCTAAGTTTAAAACAAAAACTTTTACCAAAACGAATAAGATGTAAGATTTTCGCGAGTATTCATTTAAATTAAACTAATATTATTCCAATTACTATGTATATTTTGACTACATACTCCTGACGTTTCGGTTACTTTACAAACAGATGTGAGTGTCTGTCAGTCGGTCTTATTATTTTATCACCTACCGCTATTTATTTCTTAATTCAGTATGTATATGTAGAAAATCTTTATTTACTTATACTATGTATAATATAAAAAATATGTCCTTTACTATCTTATTTACTATAATAATAATGAGATTGAAGATTTTCGCGAGTACTCATTTAAATGAAACTATATAATATTTTCGGATTTTACTTCGCGTTTTATTTTTGATTATAAACTACGTACTCCCGACGTTTCATATACTTTACAAACGTGACCATTAAGACGAGATGTGAGTCAAAATAAAACGCGAAGTAAAATCCAAAAATATTAGTTTCATTTACTATAATAATGTTATTAATATCATATATATTATTAAAATGAGTTTACCTCAGCCGGTGGGTCTGCTAGTACGGAACACCTCAACTCAGCGCGGAACCCTTCGCCCGAGTGAACCCAAGAACGGTCCACTGTAATCTCCGGCGGATCTGCAATTTACGACAATATAGTTATTTTACAATCATATTAAAAACCAATAATAATCTTTTACTACTAAGTGATTAGAAATAAATACTAAAATAAACATTACATATAGAAAAAATAAATGAACATCGCCGGGGTAACATCGTTGTATGTATAATATATAACTCTTGAGGCCGCTGACTCCGCGGAACGAACACCAAGCGTGTGAACCAGAAGATTCCTGATACACACAAGCTATGGAATGGTATTGATATCATAACATCGGGTCAATCATGTAGTCTTAGGTGTAGGTTATGAGTTTTAATATGTAGTACTTATTATAATATACATATTACATATAAGTTTCCTAATTTTCCTAGAACCTCTGCTTTCCGTCCTATTTTAACTTCGCTTATTTTATTGGTGTAAGGGATGATAATCTATATATAAACGAGATTACCACCTATATATTGATTCATCAAGATATCTCTGGAACCACAAGGCGTAGCGACTTGAAATTTGGTGGGATTATTACTTTCGCCCAGTAGAGGTCAGCTGAGAACGGATTTTACGAAATTCCACCCACAAGAGGGTTAAGGGGGTAAACAGTGCAAAATACGCTTTTACGCCTAAACCACTGAACTGATTTTAATGAAATTTCGTACAGACATAGAGTTGACCTTGAGAAAGAACATAGGATAGTTTTTATCCCAGACTTTTGAAAGGTTCTCTTGGTAACGATATAACTGAACTCCACGCGGGCGAAGCTGCGGGCGGGACGCTAGTATATATAACATATACTTACATAATACTTGCAACTGGAACTCCGCAACTATAGGAGGTCCTACCCCGTTGTCGACTGTACATATATATTTTCCGCTGTGTTGTCTTTCAAGGCGTGATAGTTGCAGTTGAGGCCCTTCAGCCAGACGAGTGCTTGTGTCGTTCTGAAAAAAAGTATACCCATTTGATATAATTGTTGCGAATTTTGATATAATAACGAGGAGATATTAAAAAAGATGTACATTAGTTGGAATGATAATTTTATTGTGTTACAGGGTAGGTAAAAAATTTAATAAACGAAGCGCCTTACATCTAAATCGTTCCGTAACCTCCATATGCTAAATTGCTTCACAATTTTAACAGGCGTTTGCGCCAACAATAATATAACATTTCTTTTTTCATTTCTTACCAAACAGGCACGATCATGAGTATTACACAATCATTTCAGAATATATAGATGAGTATTATTTAAATAGATTAATCTGACTCTAAACTGCACGTCAAAACTAATACGTGTGTATACATTCTTTCTTCTTCCTGGCAATTTCCCAGCTTTAGCGAGGGTCTGCCTAACGTATATATACATTCTTTATACCCAACAAATGACTTGTAGAAAATTAAATTATTGATGTCAAACTTTTGAGCTAAAACTGATCAGGCGAATGAAAGAGATAGGGATATATAGAGTGAGATAGTTAGAAGCTAGATAGTCTAAAGCATACTGGTTAATCTTTTATTAATCCTACTAATATTATAATTGCGAAAGTTTGTGAGTATGTATGTTTGTTACTTCTTCACGCTCAGACGGCTGAAGCGATTTTGATAAAATTTTGTATACAGGAAGCTTACGTCCAGGAATAAGATATAGACTACTTTACATCCCGGAAATCGAGGAAATCTGCGATGCGCAGCTAGTATTAATATATACGTACTCACCATCTTATGCCATATAACATTGGGTACAGGATTCCCTGCGGCTCTACACTCCAGTACCGCGGCTCCTCCGCGCCGCGCCGCCGCGTGTCTAGACTCAGGAGACGCGCGCACACTCGGGGGGACCAGAACCTCCACCGTGTGTACTTGGTCTCGAGCGATGCGGTCAGATATCTGACACACGTAGTCACCGGCATCCTGGTGATAATTACGATTAGATAATTGTATAATAATAATAATTTAACATCCATATTAAAAACACATTAAAACCTAATGTTAGTACTATAAAATTATAAAACTAATATACTAAGCACTATATAGTCATCATCATCATCGTGTAATAAATTATTGAATGAAATCAAATTATAATTAAATTCTGTTATAAATTAGGAAGTATATAAAATAAATTATTTATATATTAAAGAAGAGGAGATGGATACAGTGTGTGAAATGATTACAAATACTTGGTGTCTATCATCATCAGTCTATCAGAGCCCACTGCTGAGTCTCTTCTCAAATGGAGAAGGTTAGAGCATTAATCACAATGCTCAAGACGGGTTGGTGATTTCAAACTTATAATTTGATAATTTGATTAAGTCCAGGTTTCCTCACGATGTTTTGTTTCAACGTTTTATAAAGTTATAGATTTTAATTATTTTAACTAAATACGACGACGTTTCGGTTACTTTGAAGCATTAATCACGGAAAAAGAGATCTAGTCGAATAGAAATAGTGTTAAACATTTGGTCAGTGGTGGCCCAGTGGTCAAAGGGCCCGCCTGTCGTTGCCGAGGGCGCGGGTTCGATCCTGGCCCAGGCAAGTACCAATGTGATTTTTTTGAATCATCTGTACGTTCTAAGCATATTTAGACATCACTGATTAATGTTGATTCCCAAAAAGAGGGTTGATGTCAGGCAGGCGGCCGGTCGTAAAAACAAATAGCCAAAACCATTCACAACATGTAAGGCAGACCCTGGCTATAGCTGGGAAAATTGCCAGGTAGAAGAAGAAGAAATAGTGTAGTAAATCCGAAGAATCTTCGTTTTATTTCAATAAATAGTTGTAACTAATATGCTTCTTAAATAACGGAAAATCCAAATATATCTATCATATAATTTTTCATTTTTCAATTAAAAATCTTCATTCGTATCATTTCGTATGGAATATTTTAACAAATTACATTAATTGTTAAAATTTTTCAATTAAATGGACATTTTTATTGCGAATTTAGAGATTTTATATAGAGATAAGCTAAAAAGATCTTTGTTTAACGAAATGCTTATTGTTTCGGTAAAAAATAATGTATTTCTGAAATTGAAAACTATTAATTGGAGGGCATGGTTTTCTTAATATTTTTTTGGGTTTTAAGACGTGTTGGGACAAATTTATACTTATACTTATTTATAAAGTAGAAAATATTTGAATATCAATGTTAATGAAATCAATCTTCTACGAGTAGCTGCATTGGATCAGTTCGCGAGTTCCCTAATTTTTGTTCAACCATAAAGTGCTCGTCGCTAAAGAAGTTTTCATTTCTACTTCTTCTACCTGGCAATTTGCCAGCTTTAGCCAGGGTCTGCCTTCAAAGAAGTTTTCATTTCTATAACAAACTATAATTAATAAAATAGGTATAATAAAAAAAATGTATTATTATCAAAAGTTGTAACTAAATTTACGATTTTCATGAATAAACATTGGTCAAAATGACAATTCTTGAGCATGTATTTTGGCAGGAGATGATTACCATCTTAATAACCCTTCATTAGTATGTTTCAAGTAACTGAGAGGAGAATAATCAGTTAAATAGGTGTTAATATTAATTTAAATTTAGGTTTACGGTTTAAACTTATAAAACACCCTCCACAAATCATCAAATTTTGGTTAAAACTAGCATGTTAGTGATTAATAAAGACGTTTAATTAAACCAAAATTGAATCAAAAAAATCTTTGTTCAATGTAGTGTCAAAAATAATTCTCCAACTACGAAGATGTTCATTTTAATTTAGCTTTTAATTCCTAACATGAAAACATACATATATATCGTCAGGGATAGGCAAATCCGTTAAATTAGCATTGGATAATTCCGCGTATCTACATCAGAAGAAAGTTTAAGCTGAAATATATTCTATATTAACGACATTTAAGGTAACTTTTTCACAATTAGTAACTATTTAGTGTTTAATTTATTCCTACATACATCCCTACTAATATTATTAATGCGAAAGTAACTCTGTCTGTTACGCTTTCACACCTTGACCACTGAACTGATTTTAATGACATTTGGTATAGATATAGAGTTGACCTCGACAAAGAACATAAGATAGCTTTTATTCCCGATTTTTGAAACGGTCTCTTGGAAACGCGATATAACCGAACTCCACGCGGGCGAAGCCGCGGGCTGAAAGCTAGTATAGAATAAAATGACATAAAAAAATGCCATGAGACATTTTTATGACACGTAATAACACTGGTACTTTACGTGAACATTCTAAACATGCCTCCACGTAATTGGACAACGAAAAATATGATAATTGTGAAATAAAAAAGGTAGCGTCGTTATATTTTATGTGGGCTGTTTGAGCTCGAATACGGCTTTGGATTAGCGTTTAGGGACAATTATGATTAAAAAAATATGTGATATTCATACATATACATAATTATTCCTAATATTCAACTCTTCTTATTGAAATATTTTTTTTTTGCGATACAAAAGTATTTTATCTTATAGCTGATATTGGCACTTAAATGTTCATTTTGTCGAGAATGTGAAATAGAATTTTGTATAATACCTATAAGTTTTGATTGACAAAACAAGTTATTTTTAATGATTTTACAAAAATTGCTTTACATATTTTTTTTACCATGACGTTTTGGAAAATGAAATGACCTATAAGAAGTCAAACTACACATTTTTATCTCGTCTTTGTGATCACGGTTGCTGTAAAGTAACCGAAACATCGGGATTATCCCTACTAATATTATAAATGAGAAAGTAACTCTGTCTGTCTGTTACGCTTTCACGCTTAAACCACTGAACTGATTTTAATGAAATTTGATACAGACATAGAGTTGACCTTGAGAAAGAACATAGGATAGTTTTTATCCCAGACTTTTGAAAGGTTCTCTTGGAAACGTGATATAACCGAACTCCACGCGGGCGAAGCTGCGGAAAACTAGTGTAGTAAATACTAAAATAATGCTTAGTAATCAGAAAATATTAGTTTCATTTAAATGAATACTCGAAAGTCTTAGATCTCATTATCAGTATTGTTTTGACTTCACTGCTGAGCCTCTTCTCACATGGAGAAGATTAGAGCATTAATCACCATGCTAGTCTGTTTTGACTTGATTAAAAAGTAATATAAATCAAAGTATATAAACTAATATTATTATTATTACTTCGTGTATTTTAAACCAGTCTGACCACTTACCTGTGGCCCTACATCTGTTATCTGTAGGTTGTATCCATCGACTAATCTGAATCTTTCATCTCTTGTAACCATGAGGCTGGCAGCTGTTAGAACGGCGGGCCCTCGTCTCCATAGAAGTACTAATGAACCTGAAAGGTAAAGGTAAATAAAGGTAAAGATTTATATTATATAAAACTACCCACTTGTATACATGTACCACTACCCAATTGAATACATTGAATGAGTAAAACAACTCGTTATGTAATTATATGTTAACTACATTTAATATTACTTGAATTTTTTGTTTCTTTTTGTATCTTTTTTGTAAAATAAAGATTTCTAAACCTAAAGATAAAGAAAGGTAAGCTTTGAATACTATCAAGATTTTTGTTTAATAATATAAATGTTTGTAAAAGAACAAAATTATGACTTCGACGTTCGGTGGATGCAATGAAACCAAAATTATTTCACTTAATTAAAAGTTAATTACAAATAGGGTGCGACTATGTTGCACAAAGGTTGAACAAATAGTGACAATAATCTAATTAAATTCTTTAAAGAAATATTATAATCTAAAAACATAAAAGAAATATAAAACCAAAAACTGTCTTCACACGGAACTGCTGAGTCAGACCCGTGTAGAATAGACGAGTTTACCCAGAACCTAAGGCGACCTCTGATTACACCGTATAAAGATTATTATATTCTAATTAAACGACCACTTATGACACCGTCACATAACAACAAAGTAAATATTTTTTTTGGTTTTACATGCACTAGTCAAGTTTTGGAATTAAGAATAACAGTATTTTTTGGAGGTTCTTTGTCGTCGTGGAATGAAGTTTTTGGGAAATCCTCAAGATTTTTGACAAGTTGGTCTGTTTTAATCAAGAAAATAATAGAAAAAAAATACCACAATATGACTCTGTAACATAAAAATAAAGGAATTTGATTGAATTTAATTTTGTGGGGACACTACACAATAGTCTTCTCTCAGTAATCTATCTGTAACTAATATTTAGGATAATAATTAAATATGACCAAACATATTCGAGCTTGTTTGTTATTATTGTATATTTTTAGTTATTTTTACATCTAGAGTACTCTCTCACCTAAATTTTGCACCTGACACGGCAGCAGCAGGGTGTCTCCGACAACTGTTCTGAAGGAATGTCCTCGCGATAAGAATCTGGGTCCATCATCTGCGATAAAAAATACATCACAATTAGATTAACAGAATTAATTGGGTCTTATAAAACTGTATTTATCAGAGCCCACTGCTGAGCATCTTCTCACATGGAGAAGGTTTGAGCATTAATCACGATCGCTCAACACGGGTTGGTGATTTCAAACTTATAATTTGATTAAGTCCATATTTATTCATATTTTCCTTCATCAGTCAGTGATGTCTAAATACTCTTAAGTACATATGACTCGGAACATCACATTGGTACTTGCCGGGTTTCGAACCCGCGCCCCCGTAAACGAGAGGCGGACCTTTAACTTCCAGATCACAATGACATAATAGCCTCTTCCAGTTCAAAACAACTTCCTAATTTGCTCACAAGTTCTCTAGAAGTGTTCGAGCCCAAAAAACAGTGATTTTCTCCTTTTAAAAGAAACCTTTATGCCAAAGTTCTAGATAAATAAAATGTATAAATATTTTAAGGAGCTTCAAAGTGATCATACGCTTTCACTACCCTCACCTGTAATATCAAACTTCTAAGCCAGCAGTTTTTCGTGTATTTATTTACATTGGGTGAGTTTAATTCAAATTTTATTAGGTTTATAAATCCAGAGATACCGTCTTGCGTACCACCGGAAGTCGTATGTTACCAACCTAACGGCTACACAGATCGTTAGCCACTTCCGGCGCACTATTGCCTCTGAACGCGACTCCTTAATTGGATAATTCTGTTCTGTTTTATGTATCTTATTTATTTCTAGATATACAAATCTAATATATATTATTTCCACGTCACAATATTAGTTACTGTACTCCTCCGAAACAGATTTATCGATTTTTACCAAATCCTTACTAATATTATAAATGCGAAAGTAACTCTGTCTGTTACGCTTTCACCCCTAAACGACCGAACTGATTTTAATGAAATTTGGTACAGACATAGAGTTGACCTTGAGAAAGAACATAGGATAGTTTTTATCCCAGACTTTTGAAAGGTTCTCTTGGAAACGCGATATAACCGAACTCCACGCGGGCGAAGCTGCGGGCGGAAATCTAGTAATAAAATATAAACAACAAATACATATTAGTTAAAAAAACTAAGACAACATACTTTCATGTCTAACCAAACTAAAAAATACAATAGTTTTCAATTACAAATAAATTATTTAAATTCAGAGTATAAAAGTGAGATGCCTGATATTGAATGTTATAATAATTCTTATGAGGGGAAACATATGAGATGTAGGCAGACATATAAGTCAAGCTACTAATGACTAACATAACGTCCAAATGTATGTATGAACCGATATTGATTGAACTCTATTTCTTTATTAGGATATTTAAATGATAAAACTATGATTAAACTTTATCTCACAGTTAAGAAAAGCAAGTCTTTAAAATAAACGTAATGATTTAACCGAAAACTTTTAACAACTATTTTTAAAGCGAGTTTTTATGGCAGAATCTATTTGAGTGTGAGAGAACTTTTAAAATTATCAAGATTTAGTCCTTGGAACTGAAGGCTGGAACATATCTTAATGCACTTTAAAAAGGAATAAATTAACTGACGAAAACCTTACCGCGGGTTTTTCAACTAAACTACCTAAGGATAGTTTTCATTTTTCTTATAATTTTTGGCAAATAATAGTGTTAACATATAGAAAATATATTTTTGAAACACACTTGTAGTAAGGCTTAATTTTTTCTTTCTCTTAAATCCATTATTGATATTTAATAATTTCTATTTCCACCATTGAGTTTCATAGTTATACCAAATAACTTTTAGAGCATTAATCACCACGCTTGCTCAAGACGGGTTGGTGATTTCAAACTTATAATTTGATTAAGTCCATGTTTCCTCACGATGTTTTCCTTCATCAGTCAGTGGTGTCTAAATACTCTTATAAAGTACATATGACTCGGAACATCACATTGGTACTTGCCAGGATCGAACCCGCGAACTCGTGCCTAAGAGGCAGACCTTTTGACCACTAGGACACCACTAGAAAACATATTATATTCTAGCAATATTTTTCTGTATTTCAAACATAATCTACAATTAGTTATTACGAATTTAAAACGTTTTATTAATATAACAAAAAGTTCTGAATATCTAAAAATACTCGGTTTTTTCCTTATCTACATTTTGGTACAAAAACGAATATTTATTATTCAAATAAACTAAACTACTCAATTATGAATATTGTTTGACATAAAATTTATATTATGTGACACAATACTAACATTTTATGTCAATGTTGGCGACATAAAAAATAACAAGCTCTGAACCACTGTCTTCTTTATAACGTATTTTGGTTTGACTTTTAATATGTCATTACTGTAACATATACATAATCAAAAATCATTACCCTTTAAAGATAATCACTCTAAAATTGTATTTTTTCTTTTAAATTTTCCTCTAACCTGCAATTTAGAAAATCGGTTTTAATTCGGTATCAAATTTAAAATATTGCAAACTAGCTTTTGCGTTGGTTTCATAATAACTAGGCTGTTTGATTTAGAGGCAGTAAATAAGCATATTATGGATTTTATTTTATTTTTCGCTCGAACAGTATTAAATATCCTATGTCCGTCTCCTTGTTCTAATCTATCTCTCCACCAATCTTCATCCATATCCGTACAGCCGTTAGAGTTATATATAGTGTAACTAACACGACTTTCTTTTATATACAGGGTGACTGGTGAATTACTATCGATATTTGAGGACGTGATATTTGACGATCATATATGACAAAATAAAAATTAATACAACATAAATATTAATAAACTTCTAAGTAAAGTTAACCAAAAGTTATGTAATTAATTACGCATCGTATGAACACCCTACAGATTAGGTATACGTACACACACACACAAACGCGGCGGAGGCGTGTTGTTGTATCAGCACGCCGCCGCACGCGTTCACACTTGGAACACTTGGAACGTGTACACACTTTATTTATTTATATGGAAATTTGGTCAAAAATTAAGTACCTATTTTTTTTACATAATTCGAATGAGAATCATGTACCGAATATGCTCCTTAAATATTGATAGTAATTCACCAGTCACCCTGTATAGATATAAAACAAAGCAGACAATGTCGCAGTTATTAGCTAGTATCGAAATATTATTACCTTTTAATATTATTCTGCATACGATCCTTAAAATATTCGTTAAAACAAAACGTTATTATAATTACTACAATTCTAAATTGTCAAACAAACGAAGGTTTATCTGTTATGGCTATTAACCTACGTTAAGAGACGAGACGATACTCTCATCATTCCATGTATTCACGGTGCGTGTGTCGGGTCCATCGTTGTAGTGAGAAGAGCTTCAACAGTGACTGTGACTTGTGACCCAGGTGTAGGTTTAAGGGACCCTATCTAACGCGTTAAACGCTCACCTCCACCGTACAAGCTCCTCTCTCTACCTAACAAAATTTGAAAAGAACCTATAATGGATTACTATTTGTGAACGAGAAACTATTAACGCAACGTATTTTGTATGGCGATATAAACTTGTTGTAGTTTGAAGTGGTAACTTCTTATCGGAGGGTAGAACACTTCGTAACGTAACGCGTAACTCGTAACGCCACCACTTTATATTTTTCCCTCACGTATAACACATCAGTATTAAACATGCTACAGAACTAATACTAATAGTAAAATTAATTATCATATTATTTATTATAATATTTATATGTAAAATTTCAGTAAAAACTATAATTTTACATGAAGCAGTCTAAAATTTAAATCATCATTTCTGTGGATCGTTCCTATGTATAAAAGTGTTATATTTTTACTTACTTCTGTTGTTCTGCGCCAGCGCCGTCACGAAGGCAGCGGCGAGTATCACCCAACACTCCATAACTCAAACTGACTGGACCGTAGCATGAAGCCTCATCTGGAACAGAGGCAGATATGAGAAAAAATACAAGCACACACACACACACAGACACACACATACATACATACATACATACACACACATACAATATCTTCAGGTTATGAGATGTAATACTTTCGTGAGTATTCATTTAAATGTAAAGAATATTAATTTTTTTTTATCAAAGTAACTGCTACGGACTTCGTATCGCCCTATAAACAAGAAATATCGTTTTTATCTGAATGAAGTTAATTTCCTTATTTTTCAATGGAGTTTTGCCTGGTTCAACCTAATAAACATTAATCACTCAGTTTCCACTTTTCGTATCAACAGCATATTAGTGACAGAGACGCTAACATATTAAGATGTGATTGACCTCAACTTCTCCAACCATAAGCCTGTATGAATAATAATTCATTGAATTAACTTTTTTGTTAGTTTCAGAACCTAAAAACATTTTCTTGTGATAAAATTATATAAATTACTTAAAGCTATGATAAACATTAAAAACTTAAATTTTTATTTCCCTGTAACTGGATTTATCATCTTCATTAAAAATAATACCCATCTTCACCTTTCCAAAATAAGATAAAATATATTTATATATGTTCGATGTGTTTCGGACACACGCTGCAGTTGATTGTTACATCGGTGTAAAATAATATTGCGATTATCCACATTTTCACCCACAATGACAATAGCGACTTCATCAATTCTTTGGGCATTAAAATGTCTTATGTGTTTGATAACAATTTTGTGATTATCTTATAGCATGTGATCTAATGCGGTCTTGAATAATGCAAGCAATGGTTTGTTTCGATGGAAAATTAATTGGAACTGTTTCAACTGGTCTTTTCACAGAATAGTTGTGTGTACAACGCTGATCAACTTGTCTTCCTGAATCACCCATGAAATTAATTTGGAAAAATTTATAGTCACTGACCGGCACTAGTGATCACTAATAAGTTCAATGATATATTTGTCCTTGAATCTGCAAAGGTAAACATTCCTGTATTACATATACATATTGTAAAGTGAATTGTTCAAACCACCAAGTGACACTCAAAATACTTTGTGAGCACTACCATTTCCCCCATCAACTTTTTTAACACAATTCCTTCTGGCAACTAAAAGTAATTCACAGAACTACAAATGTACTTTAAGCCATTTCAAATGATACACCATTACAATTGAAAACTGTCAACAATAGTGGTAAATGTTTTTCAATACACTTACCTACCTTAAAAGTTGTCATAAAATTTATTGTACTGTAGTCCATTTCTTTGTTATAATCAAATGCAGCTCTATAGGGGTTAAAAGCAACACATATTGTTGGTTTCGGTTCCATCGATTCCGTTTAACTTCATTCCGTGTTTCACGTTGCTCATCAGTTAGACTTGCTCTTCTATATCTTTGACTTGAGGCATTACGGGTTCTGCGACTTAAGTTTGTACGTCTAATTGCCGGCATGTTTTGAAACAAAAATTCAACTGAAAATAAAAAATACTATTATTCTATTCCTATTCTTTTGCAACAGTATCAAAATGATCTATCAAAACTTTCCAACACTATAATAATTTGAGTTACCTTGTTGAACAAACACTTCAGAAGAAAACACACAGTACAAATTATCGTGTAGAAATCAATGTGAAAATTACACTAAGAAATGGTAAATGCATTATGTAGGTATTTTTTTATTATAACTCCGGCCACAAATAGTAAAACTGAATAGGTACTCGTACAAAACCACGAAAAAAAACTATTTACTGTTTCCAAACAATTTGAAAGAATAACTGAACTTTTAAGACAGAGACAATAGTTTATCATAGACTAATATAGACACACGAACGTCAAGCTCAGCTTATGTATCACGCATTTAAAAGTAAGTAATTTTAATCATGTAAATCATAATTATTAAAAAAAAAATCAGTTCTATTTTCATAGTAGTGATTTGTGATAAACGATGTTTTTTGTTTGATTACCTGGCGACATTAAATCCTCCAACGACGTATTCTATGCTCCAACGCACACACGCACCCTGTTTTGATAGATATGATTGAATTTGAACTTTGTGTAGCGGTAAGAAAGTGCAAATTTACTTTTCGACGTTAGGAACACACCTGCATTACTTAGATAACAGCGAGTGCTTGTAATTGAATATGAACTTTATGTAAGAGAAATAAAGCTCAAATTGATTCTACGTTTTAGTTAGAAAACGTTTGTATGATAAAAAGAAAAGGGTTGTTTTTAGGGTTTTCCCGGCAATTATTCGATCTTTTTAATATTCTTATTTCAATAGAATGATATAATATTATTTGAAAATTATAAAAAAAGATAATACGTGTATATAAATTGTAATAAAAAAGTATAATTATGCATTTCTGTTTACCGATCAAAATAATTTCTTAATACTGTGGTCATTGTATTGTGGTTACCATGACAAGCTGAGAAATATTTGAAAGGAATTTAACTGGTTCAGTTAACTTGAGGTTTAATAGTTAATCCTTTTTTTTGGAAAAGCACTACGTCATCATCTTTCCAAGCAAAAATCTGGTTTAATTTGAGGATATGGAAAATTAACACATGTTCAATTCTTTATTATAACGTCAGTGAAATGATTGAAAAATAAAAGAAAATTAGTAGTTGAAAGTATAAATCAAATTTAAAGTAGGTTTCTTTTGTGAGTTTTTATAAATTTACAAGTATTTTTAGTAACGAAAACGAAAAAATAAAAATTTTACTGCCTTTCAGATTAATTGTTATTTTTTTTGGTGAAAATTCTCATTACGTTAACAATAATATACCACCATATATAATATCAAAATTTGTCGTATTTATAGAGAAAAAGAATTTGACATACATATAAAACTCACTCATGATTAAATGTCAGAAAATTGGATACAAAGCACAAATAGGGCTCCGAATCTAAATAAATCTCTAAAATGTTTGCATCACTGTTTCTCGGATGGAAAAAGTGTATCGGGAAAAGAAACTTCTGATATAAAACATAAGAAAAAATCAGTTATATTTCAATATTGTACACAAGTAATGTTAAATGTTCCCCGCTCTCAGACACGAAATACGAGAATACTTTTAAACAAGTCCTGGGAATGTTTTGGGACCGAAAAATACGAGTTCCATATGTGTACATAATTATTATGAATTATAGTACTTGATTCGATTCTGGCAAGTACCAATGTGATGTTCCGAGTCATATGAACTTTATAAGAGTATTTAGACACCACTAACAGATGAAGGAAAACATCGTGAGGAAACCTGGAGTTATAGATTCACAATTATAAGTTTGAAAAACTTTGTGTTATTGAAATAGTGTACATCGGATTTATTACAAATTCATTGTTTATAAAGAGACAGACGCCAGCCTCGTTGAAACTAATGTCACTTCTTCCAGTACGTTCCATGATATTTTAAAATGAAATTTCAATTGTTCTTAATGCTCCTGTATTTCTTGAAGGTTGTTCATAATCACTGAACTCTGTCGTCGTGCGTCCAGACGTCATATTTATACCAAGACTCAAACATAGTTCTATTCTCTTTTAAACAATCTTTGATCTCGTTTTACTTAACAATAATAACGAATACTAATAAGTTTTAATAATAATAAATGATGACAGGCTCAAGTTATTTCGTATTGCATCCTCCTTTGATATTGATATCCTCCCAGATAAATATTTACCTCATGTTAGCTCATATGTAACTATTGATAAATATATACGTCAGCTGGCTGTGTCTCGGTGGAAAATTATTATTTAGAGTCATCAGCTATGTGTGTATATAGTCAAACTGTCGATGTTTCTGCAACACTAAAATAAAACATGATAACAAAACAGATAGATACAGGGGAATTCCCGATTGCTAAGTCGAGCAGTGTTGCCAATACTAAATACTCCGCATTTATTTCATCGCTGTTATTGCCACCTGTCTTGTGTTTTCTTTTGTCAGATTCGGGAGTTTTTGCTAGACATTTATAAAAAAAATAAAATGATGAATCTTGTGTAACATTAATTAATTCATCCAAAAAAATATTTAATTTATTTAATATCAACATGTATGACTTTAAAAAATCTGAATCTTCAGATGAAGAAAAATATTCAATGTATTAAATACATTGGAATAAAACAATTTTTAAACATGTCACATGTATATTATTTCTAAATCGTTATGAATTTATATTTATGTATTTTCAGGGGGGAAGCAAAAGAATTAAATCGATTTTAGGGGTTCTTGTCATCAACTTTAGGCATAAATATTTTTGAATGTTGGTAACACTCACACGGGGATTCCACTGAGTCGAATATAGGCTTTAAATAGCCTCAGAATGACGCAACAGTTATTTCAAGTGCAAGAGTTACGGGCGACGAGTCGTTTTGCGTCTGTAGTGTTCTTTCCAGTCAGGAGACCTAAAACTTTAAGTTTAAAACATCATAATGAATTCTGTTGCTTTGGACTGTGAGATGGTGGGGTCGGGCAACAGGAGTATTCTGGCCAAGGTGTCAGTAGTGGACGAAGATGGCAGAGTTTTGTTAAACTGTTTCGTTAAACCGACGGAAATCGTCACTGACTACAGGAGTAGCGTGCACAGGATCACCGCGCGTGATCTGGAAGACGGGGAGTCTTTCAACACCGTACAAAGAAAGGTTGCCGAGTTGTTGAAGGGTAGAATCCTGGTGGGGCACAGTTTGGACTTTGATCTTGGAGTCCTGAATTTGTCTCATCCGGAACATAACAAAAGAGATTTCGCCAAACATCCTATGTTTATGAAGGTGATTATTTATTTTACACATCACTACTATTATAAGACAGAACTCTGAGCTGTCATCGTCTTATAGCCACTAATATTAAATACTTTTGCTTGGATGTTTGTTTCACTATGAGTGAAGGGTCCAATACACACTGCTGTGATGCTCAACTTACCCGCTTGCTTCATTTTAACTTGTAATGTGTTCAAATGTCTGTATGTA